ATAAATTAATTAGAAGTTGTTGAACGAGATATCACGTCAAACCTTTAATATCTCTCAACCTTTAAAAGGTGATTAATATATAACTGTTCAAATTGTATGGTATTGTACGACAGTCGCTTAAAACGTCAGGAATTCAAAGAGGTCATTAGTTTCGACCTAGACGAGTTACTAATCCAAACCCCGTATCTCCCTAGTCTAAGTACTCATTTAGTAGTACCATAAACCGTCACACAATAGGAAAGCGAGTGATCATGCGAGTGGTCTCTGACTTTTGAGAACTTTGATGAGTCTTGATAGTAATTTAAAATTTTTCTATTTACACATTGAGAAAAAACAATCAGTTGAGTGGTGAATATTCTAGAAAGGACTGAATAAAGCTATACACAGCTCAGTACTAGCCGACCTCCCCGATACAGGATGTAAAGCCGATACTAGCAGAGAACTTTCAAAGTCATTTGTCGTATTTTACCCAGACATTTTTAAAAATTCTGTATGACTGCGACTTATAAATGCAGTATAGGTAATCGGAATTCACCTGAATAAGCCAAACCTGTGTTCTCTAGAGAAATTTCTGCCTCCCTTTTCTTTGCAGTGGCTGTCTACGTAATATGTGTGATTATCATTCTAAACTGTTATTTAACTATGATTACTATTCTAGTTAATTCAGTTAAATTATTTGTACCCTGATATCTTGGCATATCTTGGCTTTTATTACTCTCAAATCTGTGTGGAGGTCAACAGCGCTCAGTATCAAAAATAAGATCCAGATTTTCAACTCCAATGTAAAGTCAGTGCTACTATACGGATCAGAGACTTGGCGAGTGATAAAGAGCATCTCAAACAAACTTCAAACCTTCATTAACAGTTGTCTTCGCTCAATACTCAAGATCAGATGGCCAGAAAAGATCAGCAACAGGGATCTCTGGCAATGAGCGAACCAACACATCAGGAACCGATTGTGAAACAAATAGGCAGGAAGAAATGGAGACGGATTGGCCATACCCTGAGGAAACCATCAAGTGACATCACTAGACAAGCCACCGCTCGAGTGGAACCCGAAAGGGAAGCGGCGAGTTGGTCGTCAGTGTGAGGGTGACTTGGAGGAGGTCATGCGAGGAGGAGATGAAAGCATGTGGACAGACTTGGAGCGGAGTGAAAAAGTTGTCAGAAAACAGAAGGCGATGGAGGTGCGCAGCTGAAGCCCTATGGTCCTCTAGGAACTAAAGGATACAATAATAATAATAATAATCATTCTAAATTGTTATTTAACTATGATTACTATTCTAGTTAATTCGGTTAAATTATTTGTACCCTGATATCTTGGCATTTCCAACAGGCTTCGAACTTTTATCAACGACTGCCTTCGCTGGCTCCATACTGAAAACCAAATGGCCTACCAGAAATAATAAACAACAAAGAACGTGGTGACGAAGCTGTCAAGAACTTATCACCCAAGAAATATGTTGAAGGAAATGGAGATGGATTGGACAAGCGCTGTTGGGATCGTTGAGTGGTATTGCGCATCAAGCCATTAGTCGAGTGGAACCGGAATGGCAAACGAGGAGTTGGGTGTAGGCCTAAACTTGACACGGAGGAGGATGACATGAAAACATATATTCAGTTGTATAGCAAGCTAAAGAGGACTTCAGGGAGCAGGAGGAAATGGCGTTATGCTATTGAAGCCCTACTATCCACTCGGAACCCAAGGGAATGGTAATATTCTTACGTAACTGACTCATCTACTCTTTGCAGTCATTATTTGTGTACTAACTATTAACTATGGAATAATGAACTGACATTGAATTACCTAATTACTTTTGCCTCCTTTACGTACCTTAACATTGATAATTCTTATTGAGTAAAATCATCATATGATTGGCCTAATTTGGATATGAGAGTATACGTATGCGTTGCGTTGGTGATGAGGAGGTGGAATGCTCACCAACCACCTGTACAGTCCAGAGTTCAACCCCCAGCCGGAACACTCGTAAACCTCGCGTAGTCGATAATAAGCACGGTAGAGAGAGAGAAAGTCGGGTGTGTGATTAGCAACCCTACAGCATAAAATAAAACCCACTGCTACTAGAACCTCGAAGCTCAAGTTTGAAGCCCTATATTCCAGTTGGATCACATGGAAATAAAATAAAAATATCGGTGTAGAACGGTTGATGAGGTACTAATTTAAAAAGAATATATTTCTTCAGAAGTCGAATTCATCATTTACAGTCTACACACTGCTAGTGGTGAAATTTCACAGAAGTTTCCAAATTGCTCAGATCACATTATGTGATCTGTTTGATACCAATTGAACTGTGAAGATTGTGTAGTTACTAAACAATTTTCCAGATTGTGAATTTAATTTATGGTATGACCAATTTATGCAACCCGTCCAGAAATACCAACAACAGCACGTACACAACTGCAAGTTGACACCAATCCTCCAACGACAGCTGAAGTCTTGAATGGAATCAAGCTTCTGAAAGCTGGAAAAGCAGCTGGACCAGATGGAATACCCCCTGAAGCACTGAGAGCGGACCCAGAGACGACAGCAGATATGCTGACTCCATTATTGTAAAAGGTCTGAAAGGAGGAAAGGTGCCTAATGACAGGAGGAAAGGTCACTTCGTGAAACTACCAAAGAAGGGCGACTTAGGACTCACTCTGCAAGAACTGACGAGGAATCATGCTCCTGTTTACGCCAAGTAAAATTCTGAGTCGCATCCTCCTGGAGAGATTAAAGGATGTACTAGAAACAGAACTCCGACCAGAACAAGCTGGATTCAGGAAAGGCAAATCATGTTCTGACCAAATTGCATCTCTTCGCATCATCATCACCGAACAAAGCATGGAATGGCAATCAAACCTCTACTTTATAGACTCCGAGAAGGCCTTCGACAGCGTTGACCGCGAAGTAATTTGGAAACCACTCGAGCACTGCGGCGTATCCCAAATATTCATCAAACTTATTCAACAGCTGTACGACAACGACACATGTCAAGTGATCCACAACGGAAATCTCAGCGAGGCGTTTGCAGTAAACACAGGGGTCAGACAAGGGTGCTTATTATCACTAATGATATTCCTAATTGTGGTGGACTGACTGGATTATACGCCAGACAGTGGGAAACGAGAAGACAGGAATATCCTGGACTGACGTGAAGAACCTAGAAGACATGGATTTCGCGCGTGGATGATTAATGTTTGATGTCACACAAAATCGAAGACTTACAAGCGAAAACCGACAAACTGGTCGAGGAAGCAGCCGGCGAGGACAGGACTCCATGTGAACATAGGCAAGACGGGGGTGACGAAAATAACCAACCAACAACAACAGCAGCAACATCCAACGCCAATCACCATCAATGGGAGGGATGTGAAAGAGGTCACTTCATTCACTTATCTTAACTAGGGAGCATTATCTCAACTACAGTTAGTCGGAACGGATGAGGATGTCAAATCGAGCGAGAATCGGGAAGGCAGGCGAGAAACACATTCATCATCAATCTGACTGGAACCAATCTGGAAATCTTCGTCACTCAGCCAGCATCAACAACAGTATTCGGTCGGATTTTCAATACAAACGTCAAGTCAGTCAGTTCTTCTATACGGATCAGAAACTTGGCGAGTGTGTCACAAAGAATATTTCCAACAGGCTATAGCAGACCTTTATCAACAACCAACTGTCTTCGCTGGATCTATACTGAAGATCAGATGGCCGGGCTGGAAAGAATCACCAACAACAAGAAACTATGGGAACAAACAAACAAACAAACAAAACAAGAACCAATCGCCAGCCAACAAATATGCAGGAGAAAAAGGAGATGGATTGGACACTGGCTCGCTGAGGAGGCCACCGCTGGGTGACATCGCGCGCGCGTCAGGCCATTGCTCGGGTGGAACGAGGCCGAAAGGGAAGCGGCGAGTGAGACGTCCAAGAGTGACATTGAGGATATCGTTTGAAGAGGAGTTGAAAGAGTATGGACTAAGATGGATGCAGGTGAAAAGTACAGCAGTAGGAAGACAGACGTAGATATGATAGAGAAGATTTGTAGCTCAGGTGGATGATTTTGAAGTGGTTTTGTTCTCTGAGCTAGATGGTTAGTTTGCGAAGCTTTCATCACCCTACTGGGTGACATCTTCAGCGCATACTTCAAATTGAAGTATGCGCTGAAGATGTCACCCAGTAGGGTGATGAAAGCTTCGCAAACTAACCATCTAGCTCATATAACAAAACCACATCAAAAAAAGACAGACGTGCTGTTGAAGCCGTATGTTCCACTAGGAACCCAAGGGAACAATAATAATGACCAGTTTAGCCAAGTAGCTTGCCGAAAATCGAGTGGTTTGTACTGATCCGACCGGCTGAGCTGAGTCAAACTTGGTACACTGTTGATGAGATCGACGTCAAACGAGTGAAACCGTCGTCAGCTGTTTAGATTACCTCGATTTGGCTGTTCAGTTATCAAGCACTACTGGCTGATATATATGAGTGAGTAGGCAACTACTCATCTCAGTCAATGAGTAGTATATGTAGTTTAATGCAAATATATTTCTTCCCTGAGTTTGTTTCCTTGTCTAAAAGTCATAGTAAATGATCTGTTTAAAATTACTCCTTTCTACAGTCTCTGAGTGGTGAATTGACTTCTGAAAAAATGTAATCAAAAAGCCAGTTAAGACGGTCAATGGCTTTATTTTTCAGTTTTTATTATAACCAATATAAATAAAATTAAAATATTCCCTTCACTCTGCCTTAAAAAAATAAGAATAAAAATATTTGTGCGAATTGACAAACGAGGAGGAGGAGGAGGAGTCTTCATCCTCAAATGGTGCTTGTAAATAAATAGTTCAGTGAATCTTTCTACACATAAATAAAATTTCCCTGATTTGAAAGATAATTTTCACTAATTTTTGTTTTGATATAAGGTAGAAATTATACAAAGTAGTATACAAAATATCCCATAAAAAAATGATTAAAAAAGAAATAATTTTTAAGTTATTATCTAACAATGAATTAATGGTGGAACATTTTTTCCAAACTCTAGGGAATAATTTCCAGGTGGATCATATCGACCAACCACATAAACACTTCGATGATCCTTTGAAAATGCTCTACCAAATCCAGCTCGTAATGTCGACCTCCAGACAACTTGTGTAAAATGTCCTATAAGAGAGAGAGAGAGAGAGAGAAAAGAAATAACTCTTATCAAGTATCGGTTTTCAAGTATTGGTTTTGTAGGGAGTTTGTTTGATTGCATGGAGGATTTAATCATGAGCTGACATCAGTTAGAGAACTACTGGAAAGCCTGTGAGTACTGGACAGCTGTTTCGTCCTAGTTTGGGACTCTTCATCAGTACGCACCCACCAGGATCGGGTCCCAGTGGCTCAATGGTCTACGAGCTCACCTTGTAACCAGAAGGTCCTGGGTTCGAATCCCGGCGGGTACGTACTGATGAAGAGTCCCAAACTAGGATGAAACAGCTATCCAGTACTCCCAGGTTTTCGAGTGGTTCTCTAATTGATGTCAGCTCATGATTAAATCCTCCATGCAAATGACTATTAGATAAATACATTATAAATTATTTAAATTAATCCCAGTGTGTTTAAGAAAAAATCAAAACAAGATCTGTTTTCTGAACGTTTCGCTGTGTAAGCCACAGCTTCTTCATCAGCAGATTTATTCGAATTTTTATTAATCATCAAAATATGTAGAGAACGAGATATCGAATATATAGAACAGATTTTGATTGGAAATGGTTATCCGGAAAAGCTACTAGATAATATGATCAATAAAAAGGAGCATAAAGAAAAACAAAAAAAATGGAAAATCTTGGCTATCGACGATAACCATTCCATACTGAAAGGACACAGCTGAACAACTTTAAAGACTATTTGCTTCATATAATATTAAAGTGTGTGTCAAGCCTTCAAATTCTCTGGAGAAAGCGTTGGTGCATGTCAAGGATATGGTTCCCAAAATGTCACAAAATAATTGTATCTACAGGATAAAGTGTTCAGAATGTGAAGCATGCTATACAGGGGAGAGCAGTAGACAGGTGAGAAGGTCAGAGTGAATGAATATAGAGTATGCACGAAACGTCCACCTAAAAATGAAGTAGAATTAAAAAGTCTAGAAAAAGAGATCGGCTAAAGCAATGCATGCAGTAGACAGCGGATATTAGATTGATTTCGATAATGTCGAAATTCTTGGAAGAGGATTTCATTCAACACATAAAGAAAGCTTGTCTTCTGAAGCCTTGCCCGTTGTAGCCATATCGAATGCAGTAAATAGGAAGGAGAGAAGGGATAGACTTATCACCTATATGACAAACTTTTATGAAGCAAGGCAGAGGAAAAAACAACAAAAACTCTATGAGCCTCCATGACCTTTTAAAAAAGGCATTATCATGTTTATCACATGTGAATTGACGTCTTTCCATATGACAAATAACATACACACACAGAACTAATCCTTACAAATCAACTATAGAAAAATAAACACAATAACACTTTGACATTAATCATTACAAATATATGATTGATGACTGCTTACATATTTCTATTGGTAAAAAATGTCCATGGACGAATGACCTTCAAATAAACAGACTTCAGTGTATGTAAAAAATTTTGACTATATATTTTGACGATTAATAAAAATCCGAATAAATCTGCTGCTGAAGAAGCTGTGGCTTACACAGTGAAACGTTCAGAAAAATCTTGTTTTAATTTTCTTAAACACGCTGGGATTAATTTAAATAATTTATAGTGAATCAGTCTGACTCACCGCTCAAATTATTCCACGAAATTCGTAACACCTACCGTCTAGAAACTTATAATATTAGATAAATAATATTGAAAGTACACGATATATACCACTTCTGAGAGGAGGAAATTTCAAATAGTGGAGAACACTTGTAGTTCAGTTTTCCTACTGAGGCTTCACCGCGAAGCTTTCTTTACTGAAGTCAGGATTGAGGATGTCATCTGAAAGGACAGTGGAAGCCTCTCAACGTGTAAACCTGAACAATACTAAACCATGTGAAGTACACATGAAGTTACTTTGGTTGGTCGGTGACTAGCAATGGAGGCCAGGAGATGCTTTTCTTCCCGTTTGGGACCCGTTAGTTGGATGTCCCTGCAGTCCCTAGTGAGTCATGGTGTTTTCACTGAAACTCTAATTCTTCACCTATCGTTTCGAACTCTGAAATGTTATCCACTAGGCCATGAGAACCACTTCTTATGCAACAGTTGTCAGATATTTTATTTATGTTTTTGATACCCGCTTTGTAAGAGGCGGGTGTTGTTCTGGCTTTTGAAACGATGGGTACATGGTGTGAACATCACCATTCAGCGGAAGTTCAGGTAGATCAAGATGATGAATCCTAAGCGGTACAGAATGTGCATCCTAGACTTCAGTGTGGTAATCGCCAACACCCAAAATTACTTCAGCTTATTCACCAGAAATCATCGAAGCATCCGTACTACAGGCTGACATATCAAAAGAGACCGAAAATTTCAGTTCACTATAATGAATCATTGAGAAATGCAAAATTAAACGAAAAACAAGTACTTCTATCACGTTGACCATAAGTTATTTATTAAGAAGATGAATAGTTGGGGTGTGTAAATGTTTTCACTAAATTTTAATTTAGGCGTTAGAATTATGAGTCTACTCTCATTTCAGCATTCAATAAACGTTAAAGGTAAGATATCATTTGCCTTCAACATGTGTATCACTTTACTTTTTTTTCCTTCACTTTCCCAGTGAAACATAGGGCTTCAAGCTAGTGGCTTGAAGTTTCTTGTAGCAGTGTTTAATTTTACAGGATGGGGTTGCTAGCCTCATTTCCCAACCTTTCCTCTATACCAGCATTATTTCTGCCTTAGCGAGGTAAAGGAGTGAGTCGGTGGTGACCGGGGATCGAACTCCGGACCATGTGCATGGTTGGCAAGCGTCCTAACCGCTATACCACCGACGCACACCACTTTACTTTAAGCCAGAAAAATACGGGCACGGTAACCACATTGCAAACTTGACTGATAGAATCCAGGCTGCATCAAACAAAGGACCAGATGCATGACATGAGTTACTACTTAGTGTCTTACCGAAGAAGAATGTTATCTGATCAACCTTAAATTCATAAAATCCAAAGCTGACAAAGAAAACCACATCTATGTCCTGAAGAAGATGCTATACATGAATGTGGCCTTCAAAGGCAACATTCTGGCCGACATCCTAAAGAGGAGAATATCCCTTCTGCTGACACATTACGATTAGTATTCTCTTACTGCTCAATATTCTTCAGCAACTCTGAAGGCAAACTGTCGCATTTGACCATATCCATGTGTATATACCATTTCACTTGCTCCTCTGGAGTCAGGTACATAGTGCGTTCGTCGCGTGTTTTATCCAAAAGAGTCAAAGTACATTATCCCGCCTGGCTAAGAAAAGATAACAGTGGATCAATAATAGAGTGCTATAATTGAACATACATTCAACACTTGCCACTCAATATGCAGATAGAGGTCACTCAATGTTATGTACAAAGTTAAAAAAAAACCTCCTCAAAAATGTACACTTTCAGTGCACTTTGCCTTGTTGAGGCCTTAACTATTCGGATGCAGAAACCTGATTTATGCACACAAAAGAAACTTCTCGATCTCCTTCTTCTAACTTGGGTGTAATTCCCACTTAAGCTTTTGTCTATACTTTGATAGTTAGACAATCTGAGACAGTCTTAAGATGGCAGACTTTTATTTAGTACAGTTGGGTCGGGACTGAAGCTGAAGCTGAAAATCTAGGCTCCGACAAGACTTTGATCTGTGCCCTCCATATAACTAGTCTGCTATTCTATCAAACGGGCTACGATATTTTAATTGCCAATCAGGCCATTATTCCATTGTAAATACTGTGAGTAATGCCTAGCTTTCGTGTTAATGTGTATGATACGTTATGGTCTGTTTATTGTCGGACCAACTGCCTAGGACCTTTAGGTTTTGGGGTGAGCTGGTTAACTTCTCGTCTACTGAAAGGAATCCTTTTGGCACATCATTTCCAACATCTGTCGATTGGCGATTTCGTAGCGCCATCGCCACCGCCACGCAGTATCTGTCCTCGTACCCAAGTCGGTGGACCTCACTGGTCACGAATTCTTACAGAACTATGTCCTGTAGTCAGTCACTAGAGGGCCTCAGAATAATTTTCAGGTGTTAGTTTGTAGGCGTTTGATTGCTATCAAGATTGATTACGGATTGATATCACTCATAAAATCAATGAAAAACTTGGAGTACTGGATAACTGTTTCGTCCTTCTGGTGACTCTTCAACAGAAAGTGAGAGTAATTACTGGAATGATCCCCTTAATGAATAACCCTGAACACCCCTACAGCCTTTCTGCTGATCACTGACACTATCCTATTATCCACTATAAACGAATCCGGTTTTTGGGACGCATACGAGGTCTCTGAAGCTGCATATGAATAGCAGCCGCATTGATGAATTTACGTTCTTAAGTTAGTTTCGCATAAATATTGATAATTCTCTAAGGAATTGGAGGACAACATCTTGGAGAGTAAAAAAGACAAGATAAATTTGCTCTTCTTATTGCCTATGACATCTTCAACATGCCAGTATTCTAATCAATCATTGAAAGTCATTCAATGACTCATCTTTCAAATGGATTTCTATCTTTTACTGGATACTTTGCCTTTCTACTTACCACAAGAAAATTGATTTTCTTTATTGAAATCGTATTCTTCTATTTCTTGATACCATGACTTTGTGGCGTCAACACCTGCAGGATATTAATTAATACACAGTAGAAATAAAATATCAGTAAAGTCTTATATAAAATTGAAATAAATATTAAAATGCACGGCCATGCAATCGTCAGAGAGTTTATGCTGCTGGTTCCTATGAGTGATTGGCAAGCACTCACATCAACTGATCATAGTGATGTAAATACTGGACAGATGTTTCACTTATTTGTCACTTTGCTCCTGTCGACTGAGCTCAGAGGGTTGAATTGGTTCAAACCAACCGAGATTCCAGCTACTAGCTATTCTACCTATGCTAGAAGTCTCCACTGTTTGAGTTGTGTGATCTCCAACTACTTATATGAAACAGTAGTATATACCATCTCGGTTAATTTTTCTTTACTTAATGGACACCATTTACAATGTATAACAGTTAATACTAACTGTAACTAGATCATTTTGGATTGGGAAATGGAGACAATTATTCAAAAAATATCACAGCTTATAAACGGTATGTTGTCATGCCAACTCGTTGAAATCCCGCCTATAAAATTGTGGAACAGAAAGAATTTTTTATTAAACTATGAAATATTTTTTCAAGAATATTGAGAACTGTGAATTGTTTAGTTGGCGTGTTGGTCTAATCTGGCTGCGATATTCTTCACAAGTTGATGGAGAGCGTATTTTTCTCACTTGAACTGTGTTGAAATATTACCACTATAAGACGGAAGAAATCTTCTCTATCATATCTAAATCTTACGAGCGGGATACGCTTCTCTGTGTTCGAAAGTGGGAAGACTTCGTCAAAAGGCAAGGATCCACCAGAGAACACCTATTCTTTCTCCATGATTGCCTTCGTCATCAAATCCTACCAAACAGTGTAAGATACAAACCACCAGTCAACTGCCCAATGGGATGGAAATTGGCCGAATAATGTGGAAGACGAATGGTCAAATTAATGATTACAGACGCACATTATCGGATCAACAAATAATAGATGTTCAAAAAGCAAAATTAGAGAAAACCCTCAAACAAGAAAACCTGTCAACGCTGATCACCGCAATTACACTGTCAAGTGGAAAACACAGAGAATAAAGACGAAGAGTCCTCAAAACCAAGCTAGCCAAGATTAGAAAACAACAACCAGACAATACGCCCATAGACTGCGTAGTCAACCTATCAAAACAACCACTATCAAAAATGGAACAACAACTACTACAAAAAGGATTAAACTACAACACCGGAGATGCTTCAAAAACTGATTTCTTCGCTACCCTTGAATCATTACTCAAATCATCAAACTTGAACGAGGAAACACAGGAAGAGATACGCCAAACAATCGTACCAATGGTCAAACAGAAAAAACAACACACACAACTCAACTCTCAAGAACTAAAGGCCCTCAAAAAGCTGAAAAATAGGAAGGACATCGTCATTTTACCAGCCGACAAAAGAAGAACAACAGTAGTCATGGACAGAGAAGAATACACCAAGAAAGCTGAAGAACTACTCAAAGATGAAGATGTATATCAACAACTCCCAACAAATCCCATACAAACATTGGACAACCGCATCCAAAGGACCTTAAACAAGCTCACCAAAACTGGACAGATCACAAAACAAGACCAATGGCGAATGAAATCCAATGGACCAGTCCTACCTCGATTCTACGGCAGACCCAAAATACACAAGGCAAATATCCCGTTACGACCAATTGTATCACTCCCAGGAACTCCAACATATAATTTATCCAAAGAATTATACAGAAAACTAAAACACCTAACGGAATCTTGTGATCACTCCATCAACTCTGCTATCCAATTCCTAGAGAAAATCAGAGGCATCCAAATAGATGAACAAGAAATAATGATATCCTTCGACGTGACAGCATTATATACCTCAATCGGACAAAAACTAGCAAAAGAAACCATGGAGCAATTACTTAGCAACGACGAACAACTTCCACAACAATCAAAAATGCAACACACAAGCTGGATGGAATGCATAAATCTATGCCTAACAACATACTTCCAGTTCAACAGCCAAATATATGAACAAGTCAAAGGAACACCCATGGGGTCCCCAATATCACGTTTGATTGCAGAAGCAGTGATGCAAAGACTCGAAAACATAATTCTACCAAAGATCAAACCCAAGATTTGGATACGCTACGTCGACGACACATTTGTAATAATCAAAAGAAACGAGTTAGATAAAACTCACAACTTAATAAACGACGTCTTCAACGATATCAAATTCACAAGAGAAGAGGAATCCGAGAACAAAATACCATTTTTGGACGTCTTAGTCAAGCGAACAACCGCAAGGGAATTAGAAACTCAAGTTTATAGGAAATCAACTCACACAGACCAAATCCTGAATTACAACAGCAACAATCCAATAACACACAAAAGGAACTGCATACAAACACTATTCAAGAGAGCAAGGACTCACTGCAGCACTCCCACCTTAAGGAAAATTGAAGAAAGGTATCTCATGGACGTCTTCCAAAAGAATGGATATCCACGGAATTTCCTCAAGAGACATATACCCCCAAGCCAACCTATCAAAGCAAAAGCCACCAAGGAAAGCACAAAGAAACTCACCTTATTATATGTAAACAATATCTCAGAAATAATAATAATGATTTACACTACAAGATTCTTCAAACCTCTAGGAATTGACGTCGTACACAAACCAACAAAGTCGCTTCACTCAATTCTATGTCAACCAAAAGACTCAACAGCGAAAGAAGATAAAACCAACATCATCTACAAAATAAATTGTAACAACTGCGAAAAACACTACATTGGCCTAAGTGGACGTCCCCTTCGTCTTCGTATCCATGAACATAAGCTAGCCGTCAAAAGACATGATATCCACTCCCTCATCTCACTACACACAGACAACCACGGACATCACTTCGACTGGGACAACGTTCAAATATTAGACAGAGGAAATAACAAGAATGCTAGGGAATTTTTAGAAGCTTGGCATTCCAGTGAGTCATCAATCAATAGACACATCGAGATAGACAAAATTTATCAACCGATAAGAAAGAAACCTCACACACACAAACAAAGGGTCAAAGTTCAAGTCAAAGAAACAATCAGTTCCAATACAAGTAACCTAGAGGGTGTGAAAACACACAAAACAGCCAATTGCATTCAATGTCACCACCAGGAGAGATGATTAATAAACTCGTGGAGAAATGTAAAAACTCACTTCATCGAATTGAAGTATGTGCTGAAGATGTCACCCAGTAGGGCGATGAAAGCTTAGCAAACTAACCATCTAGCTCAGAGAACACAACCACATCTAAATCATCCACCTGAGCTACAAATCTTCTCTATCATACGGAAGAAATAGTTGGAGAGTGGTCTTTTCTGCTTTTGTAAAAGTTGTTCTTCCATTTTAACACAAATACATTTTATGAACACTTCATTGGTTTCATGGGTTTTGTAAGAATTTCGCTGGTGACTCAACTAGAACCTCTTGTTACATCACGTCAAAAATTTCATTTCGAATTTTTTCATTTTTAAAGGTGGGATTAGATGCCCATTGGTATTTATTTTCTTATCACCTAATGCCTGACTATTATATAACATTACTCGACACCTGGACACGAGGTATAACCGATTTGCTTACCAATGTCCGAAAACCAATTTAGGCGGAAACTGATGTGGTCATTACATAGAACTGCTTGTGCCTTTCTGTGAGATGTCGCTTACTCAGACTAGGTATGCCGAGTTAGATTAGAAGTAATTCTGAGTCATACAGTTTAGTGGTAAGTGGTTGTTCTTATCGATACTTCCTTTTCCACACCGTACTCCTCAGTAACATAATTTCCCAATTAAGTGGAATAGTTATCTGGTATGTTCTACTGACAAGATTTATCAGTAGTGTATAAAGAGACGTTTGAGTTTATAAACCAGGTGTCTGTGTGTACAAAAGGAGATATTCGTCACTCCGAATCTACCATGGTAATACGTTTTACTTATTATTATACCTCTTATTATTATTATTCTTGATTCACTTAAAACTATCTTTTATCAGTAGGATTATCTTAACTCACTTCAATATATAGTTCAATATATACAGCCTATAGTTGATTTTAGAAATTCACCTACCTATGAATTATCTAACGCTTTGGAGTTTGAAACTATGGGTGCTAGGTTCGAGCCTCAGTGGGAACATCATCACTCATTGAGAAATGCAGGTACATGCAGATGACGAGTCCCAAATAGGACGGAATGCGCATCCTGGATTCCACTGCTAGCCACCATCCACCAATTGTATACTAATTAAATACCCAGACATCGTCGAAGCTTCTGCACAAGAAGCCGACATGTCAACCTGAGACCGAGCACTTCGGTCCAATCAATCGACGGGAAAATCAAAAATTCAATTCAATGGTATTAAATCCCCTAAAAATCCACTCGAAATCTAGACTAACTAATTCTTATGAACTAAAACACAGATTAGATCATTTGAAATTAGATAATGAAGAAAAAGTGGTTAGTTTTGACATTGTCAGTTTATATACACGTATACCAATAAATATGGCTATAGAGGCGGTCAGAAACGAACTGAGTTCTGACCAGAAACTCGAACTTAGGACAGAAGTGCCACTTGAGGATATAATCTTGGGAGTGCAGCTTTGTCTGACTTCTACAGAATTTAAATTCCAAGGGAAAATATACAAACAAACTGAGATAGTCGCAATGGGATCACCAATATCCCCAGTTGTAGCAGATATATTCATGGATAGGTGGGAAAAGATTGCGATTGAAACGTTCACCCCCACCCCAAAAGTATGGTGGAGGTATGTAGATGACACATTCACTGTACTTAGAACACAAGATATAGATAGATTTTTCGAGCACATCAACTCGAAGGTAGAAGCAATTCAATTCACTTATGAATTGGAAAGTCAGGAAGGGGAACTTCCAATGTTAGATTGCAACGTAAAAAGGAAAGAAGATGGGAAGCTAAACACTAGTGTTTACAGAAAACTCACACACTCAAACAGATATTT